GTGAAGTGTAATCAATACTTGGCCATTTATACTCTTTGCTTGATTAGGAAAGCGTGAGCTTCCAATTTAAAAAAAATGTGCTAAAAATAAGTATCTTCCTTAATATATATCGCATTATGGCTCTCACATCGGACATTTGATAATGACGTGTAATATCATATTTTTCCTGTCAAGAGACAAAATCACTTGACGCTTTCCTACAACTATAAGAAAATAAAAGTATTCATAAACCGTCTCTTTACGAATGTCAGATAGTGTTGTTAACATTAAACCAACCTATTCATATATTGTATAAAGAGCCATATTGCCACACCTGTGATTATAAATGTTATTCCCATGAAATCATGTTTACGATATTGTTTGTTCCTACATGCATTCCTTCTCAAAAACGTGTCATAACGTATGTTCATAACAAGTCATTACTATTATCAAAAAACAATGGTGATTAAACTGTAGAGTTGTCATTGTCTACTGGAAATCCGTTACAATGTAAAAAGTCAGCACGTTTTCTTGGCGAATGAGAGGAAATTAATTTTGCCGTGTAAGAAAATGCAAATTTAAACATTTTTAAAGAAAATTTTAAAAATGAATTAGATGTTTTGTTCTTGAGGGGTAAATCATTTATTACAAGTAATATTGGACAGTGTTTTAGGACCGACACTGGGCATGGCATGCGCCAGTGATCGACATGTAAATAAAAAGATAGTGATTGTTGTACAAGAAAGTGAACACCTAGATGCTTAAATGGAATTTCCAGAACAAAGGACAAAGTGTGTGAACAGTGATCACGGATACTGTACACCGCCACTGCGGCAGTTAGTTACCGAGGTACCCATTATAGACGGGAAGAAGGTTCAACCTAAAAAGGAAATGTTTACCTATCCATTTTTCAGTTATAACTTCGCCAATCTGGTTCACCAAACACTCATTGAAAAGATAATCATCCCACTAAAGGTAATGTAAGATATGATCTGAGGCCCACAGAATTAAAAAGAAATAATATATATATATATATATATATATATATATATATATATGTGCGTGTGTGTTCAGATTTCCCCTCACGGAAACACTTGTCATTATAATATATACATATCGTGCCAATCCCCTGTGATTGTTAACTGAATCGATGAACTCCGTGAGGTCTTCTTCTACTGACTTGTATCATTGATTAAAGTAGTTCAAATCAAACTGGGTTAACATCTGGTATCTCCTGAAACAACCGATCCCTAAAACGGCGTATCGGATTGACTGTCGTTTGGCCTTCCGAAAATGGATCAAGTTTCTATTTTCAAATGAGTTCCTACCTTGTCTGCAACACGATGATAGAAGATGCAGAGTCTGGAAGCAATGAGGGAGCGTTTTTTTCAAACTCCCGAGTTCCAGAACGGGATCGCAGTGTATTGATTTAAAGCTATATTTGTGAAAGGAGTCGTACCAGATTAGTGATAAATGTCAAAGTAACCGATATTTGATATCGCGACGAAATTCCAAGACCAGTGGCGCCATCGTTCTTAAGATGCATTTGTGTGTGGTCATTTGCAAAATATCGGACGACGCTGTCAGCGTCCTGAAAACCGTATGAAAAATAACCGTGTCAAGGTTTCTTATCCTCGATAAATAAATATGCAACATGATTATACTTCAAAAGATCATCACATAGATTAGATTATCGTTGCCGGTCTTTCACACGTGACGCTGAAGCCCGTTATATACACAAAAACTTGTATCAGAATTAGATAAGTTGTATAATAATTTGACGGTACTCAAGATTTGAACAGAAAAGCAGGATAAAGATTTCTGAAAGGCGACCTCAAAGATCTCAACAACCAACAATCTTTTCTTGGCAATCTAACATCCACCGGCACTGTCTGATATTCGCTTATGTCGGCCAAGAATATAGAACAATATTGTATACAGCTTGCTAGTGACTTGTCCCAGCTGGTTCGGTTAACAACGGTTGGACTGATTAGACATAAAATATTACATTGGACATTTTCATTTCCAGGATGAACTGACCTCCACTAGAATTTTCTCTCAAAACACCGACTTCAGAGTTTGTCCAATCTAATTAACATAAGATATCTCACTTAGTTTGGTACCTTATTAGTGTTTTAGAGAAGAAAGAAATAAAATGGGACATCTGCTTTCAATTAGCACTTCAGCACTCAATATTCCCATGCAAGTATTTATAGAACACTGGTATTGCACATCCCTTGTTCCCTTACAATTTGCTTAACTTAATTTTATACATATACCCCAATCAACTTAGTCCTTTAGTTTTGTGAAAGTTCTACATCAATCTCAGAAACACAGAATGTAATTTTGTATATATAAGAACTTGCAGCTAGAATACTAGAATATAACAGCTTTTTGCATGATAAATTGATAAAAGAACAAGACAAAAATGGAAATGTTCCTGATTTGTATTATACATTATACTTATAACTTAACACTAAGAAGTTAAGCATATATTCTCTAAGTTATCAACACAAGGTTTCATCGAAACTCTGAATAGTGATCATGTAATTCAACTATCCATACCCTGTTACAATTTCACAACATTGTGATTTTAATCAAATGTTTTAACACAATCTGTACCAATGTAAATAAAACATGAATAGCCAAGATCTCCCGTTAATGATAAAACAGATCATCACAAAACTACTTGAATATTGACTGTAATCATTGAAGCAGAAGACAGTACCTTCTGACTTGGTTAGAAGTTGTACTAATGTATTATTCAGTATAAAGGGACTAGGAAAATATTTCCAAACCGATTGATTAATTCTACTTGAAATACATGTATCCTAAACATCCATGATCATAACACAAATATGAATTGGAAGATCTATTTCAAATACATATATATTTATGATGCATGTGATACAAAGTCTTTTTTATCTGCAGTCAGTTGCAGTGTCATTCAAAATAAAATGCAGATATCGCAACAATTTATTTTATGTTAAAACAAAGGGGTTCATACATAAAAGCTTGCCAATATCAAAGTGAAGTTCACATGCAACACCTAAAATCAAAACAAAGGGAAGTAATCCATATTAATTACGGTTTTTAACAAATAAAGCTGCAATGCTGTCACACAAAAAATCTTCAAGCAAAAATCTGTTGTGAAAAGAGTAGCTGTAAAATAACAGTTTTTGATCAGGACAGAATTTTTCTATGCTTTTATTAAATTAGTTAGAATCATGAAATAGACACAAACATCATAGTATTGTAAAAAGGTATATTTGTGTATTTTCCAAAAAAATTATTTCATGGAGATATATATGTATATGGCTAACTAAATCTACTTATACTATTTCAACAGTTAATGGACATATGAATTCAAAAGTACCAACAAAATCAGGGAAAATAAATTCCCCCACAATTTTACAGTATCGCACAAAATTACATTACTCCTCTCACTCCACTCCTGGAAAGAAGTTGTACACAAATTAAGTTGGGAACAGGCTAAATTATTTTAACTTGGTTTTAGTGGTGACTTCTGACATGGTTTACACAATTGTAAAATGTCAAGTTTTGAACAAAAGAAACTGCTTGAGCAATGACAGGGAGAATGGAAGTATAATTTGATATAAGACTGTTCTTAATTCATACTACCCTATTATCTGAGAGACAGAACTATATCTGTGTATAGTATATATGGCATCTTTGACTATGTAAAGATAACAAACCCAATGTGAGTTTAATTCTTTAGAATATACTTTCAACAACTTTTAATTCTTGTAACTTTTTGATCTTACTTTAGCGGGTAACTCTTTACAATTGTATATTATGTGATAAGAACAATCAACTTCATGAACCGTAATTTACACTTAAGCTTTCCAATTTTCGATGTAGATTTGTTCTGAAGACGGTTGGCCTAGCCAACTGAAACATGTCAACCAATAAAATCTAAATTGACGGATTTCCTGGCGTTGATGCTCCATCCTTCAAATATACATTTTGTACATAAATGTATTTGTATTCCATTTTGATGTTAACCAGACTGTTACAAGTATTGGTGATGATATTGCGGCCATTCTTACTTGAAAAAAATAACAATTCATCCCATTTTGATTTTATCTTATCATGAACTTGAAAAAAGAGGTATTCATTTTAATTCATCAAATATTTCAATTAGCGGAGAGAAGATGGACATACAAATGTAGAAGTTATCAAATCCCAACTTTAGAAATGAGAGTCTTTGATAAATTGCTATTTTAGTAGTCAGCGGTTATCAGGTGCTTACAATACAGGGGACAAGTCTCCCACTGTGTAAAACTCTGATACTATTTAAGTAATTCTATCCTTGTATAATTTAAGAAATATAAACCATACAAATTAATAATTTTCGTAAAAAAAACAGAAAATGTATCCTAGTGTCCATAATATAAAATCATACATTGGCTATATTTTCAATCAAGTTCTATTTCAGATTTAAGTTGAGTTGATAGATTCTATCCTGATAAAATAACTTTACCAGTATGCCATTCAAGATGCAATTATTATCATATATCATATTATTACATACTAAATGCAAATGATAAACATGAAAACCATAAAAAATGAATGAATACTTAACATAAGTAATTGATGAATATTTTCCAACACCTGTATACATATAATGATCCTGTATCATGACACTACTGTGTACGTCTTATTGACTGTATCTTTTTAAGGAATATATATGCAGGGCTCTCGATCTGCCAGATTTGGGGTCGATATTCGGCTTCATTCCCAATGCAAAATAGTATCTTTTTTTCCCAATTTAGACCCCAATTCTAAGGGCCCCTGGTCCCAGTCCCAAAATGGGGTGTGAGAGTCCTGATACGTATTGAAAAACAGGAGAATCTTATTAATATTACTACATTTTTGTTTAATGAAGAGGCTGAAGTTTTAAGAAATCTATTGGTTTTGTTGTAGTAACTTGTCACAGAAATTGTATCGTTAACAGAGTATAACTTGAATTACAAGATACAGGAAATCTATTGGTTTTGTTGTAGTAACTTGTCACAGAAATTGTATCGTTAACAGAGTATAACTTGAATTACAAGATACAGGTATCGTTAACAAAGTATAACTTGAATTACAAGATACAGGTATCGTTAACAAAGTATAACTTGAATTACAAGATACAGGTATCGTTAACAAAGTATAACTTGAATTACAAGATACAGGTAATGTAAATATAAAATATGCGTAACATGAACTACCATCCCATGTGTAAAAAATTCCAACTAAGTTTGAATTATTTCTATCTGAAATCAAACAATTTACACTCAAATGTTTAAGTTTCCTGTATATAAGGTAAATCACCCCTTCCCTAGGGGTTAATAAAGTGAGACAATGGGGTCACCAAAATCATAATTTGAATACAACACCCATAATCCTACTGCAGTTGAGTCCTGAGAAGATTTTTGATATTTGGCATTAAGTCAATCTGACCTATTGGGCCCCGCCATTAATATTGGTTCACCTTTGACCATAGGAAGTTTTCAGCAAAATTTCATCAAAATTGGTTCAAAGATTTAAACCAGCAGAAGACAAAAACGTCTATTGGTAATATACAAACGATGAAGTATGCATCGCAACACAACTCTCTAAAGTGCCAAGTGACTTAAAGCATTATTAACATCGTTGACTCAGGATGACCCAACCATCAAGCCTTATAGTATTGTCAACTTGATTGCTATTGCAAGGCTCACGGTAAACAACTAAAACTAATACAAATTGCATAGGGATTAACTAAATATCTAGAATACCTGCTTTTAGCATATCAGAATTAGTTCTTGCTTGAACAAACACTAAGCTGAACACATGACTGACTTTGACTCACTTTGATGATCAATCAAGTGCCTTTAACTCATTAGAATCAGTGAAGCAATTTGATAAATCCGTGTTAATGAAGTTCTCCAGTAAATAAGGAAAGAATGGAAACACAAATTTGTATGGCCAATTAAAACAATTTACACAACAATATTATCACTAGCAGTATTATAATAACTAGTGAGTGGCATTCCAATGCTCAATCCATGATAACACTTTTTCTAAATTATCTTCCAGCTCTTCTGGTGTGTTGCTAAAGAGTTCATGTACAATTTCTTCTTTGTAGGAGTCTCGAGCTTCCTCTAAAATTGTTTGGAATATTTCACACTGCACATTGTCTTCCAGTTTCTTTCCAGTATAGCCCCTACATTGTGAAAGAGAATAAAACAGTAACAGGATTCAATTTTTGAAATTTAGGAGACAACTATATTATTTCAAATTGGTCATAATCAATATCTATAAAACTAAATAAGAAGCAAGGTGCTCTGAACCTCAAGTTGTGCTCCTGCAGGTACATATTAAAATCAGATATCCACTTTTGTAACAATATATTAAACAGATTACCTAAAGTCTTGAAAGGGAGCTAAGGCTTATCACGAGTAAAGTAAATTAAACTGATATCTTAAACCCTCATCAATATCCATTGACTAATTTTACCAGCAATAGAGTTGATCTTGAAATTAACAACTGTTTTGACAACTTATAAAAGATATATGTGAGAGAGGCTTTTCAGGGCTGTGATCTTTCCTCTCACATATCCATAGTATTGAGTAATTCCAGGCTAATACATGTGTAAAACTTAAATATGGACTCATTTGTATTAATATAGAACACCTTTATTTTTTAATAAAAAACAGTTCCACAAACTTTGTCTCAGACAGCAGACTTAAATCCATTGTGTAATTTACCATTGTTTTCATTTGGAAACTTTTAAAACAGCTTGTTATTGTTTTTCACCACATATAACACAGCTAAGGGTCACAGCAGACTAGAAGTGTTGTTACCTTTGCTGTTATATGTGATGAATAAATTCATAACACTGATATGGTGAAGCAAACACATAAAGCGTGCTTAGGTCTGCATTGTTTACTTCTGTGAATGTATTTTCACGGTGTCCTCCAACAGTGAAGCAGGACATTCCTTCCCAAGGCTACATTTTTCAACTAATGAATTTGAATAATATAAAAAGCACTTGAAGTAATGTTTTACCATTGCGACAACATATTTTTAATGAAACAACATATTAGAATGTGGTCAAAATGTGGCTAATTGGATATATTTTTCTGGTGAAGATGTTCTTAAATCAATTGAAATCCAGAAATGTGTTGCTTTTTCAAGCTCATTTATGTAGATTGGCAAAAAAAAGGGATTTACCTATAGAACAGGATGTTATATTCAAAGAAACCAGAATTTCTGTCATTGGAACTTATAAGTGTGTGTTGTATATGGGATTAATACTCTTTTGGGTTGCAATATGTCTCTTTCACCACCAACCCATAGAATTAATAAAATAGTACTAAATGTTTAATGAGCCAAGTGTATTTCAATTAATATTAGGAAGTAGCTCCATTATCTTCAGAACAGTGAAAGTGTTTTGTAAAACAGATGAATAATCTTTTACACTAGAGAGCACAACATGAATACTGGAAGTATGTCCATTTTCTTGGGAATTTCGGAAATTGTCATCTTGTAAATAATGTGAAAGTCTTTATATACATGTATGATTGTCTTAATGCTCTTTGTATCATCTGCCACACTACATACTTTGCTGTTCTTGGAATAAACTGGGTTTAACTTACTGATAAATAATGTTTCCATTTTGACCATGTTAAGTTTAAATATACCTGCTATCTTGAAACGGGTGTGTCTACTAATATCCCTTTTTTTTTTTACATTTTTCTATAAGGATATGAATAGAGAGACCAAATGCTTGAGTTATTTTTAGCTGTCTTATAAGTGACTGTCCAATAAGTCTAATAAGACAGCCAGTTAACATATAGAACAGTTACAGGTAACAAGCTAGATTATAGTACAAAAAGAACAATGGATGGCATAACAACCATGTTTTAATTTTAGGGTTGTAGACCATAGAAGATCAATTTACTTATATTTTTTTCATAGTGATTCAAATAAAAATGGATGTATACATACCTGCTTTCCAATCGGTCATAGAGGATGGAGTTGTCTGTCCTTAGTACAAAGACTATGTCAAACCATCTTTCAGGGAAGAACTCGCAGCTGTGATAGTCAACAATGTTCCCCCCTTGCCCCATTTTCTCCTCTAATTCATCAATCACCTGGATATCAAACATACATATAATGTCATGGCAGTAATATTTCAATGGTTAAATATACACCTTGTCCATTATTTCATCACACAATAGTCATTTTTAGTACACATTTAATAAGATATATAATGGACGCAGGCTATAAGCCTCTATATCCATATCAATAAAAAGTGACATAAAATGGCAATGTATCGAATATTAGAATTAATTAAAAATTTATTTCTTCAAGTTTGCAATGCTAATCAAGTCTTATTTCGAACTGCTTTACGTTTACAGTAGCTACAATATGACATCTGTTGATATTAAATTAACTGCCACCTTTCAAACACATGAAAACTGATACATCTAAATTTACACAGCTGGTTACCTTAAAAATAATTTTAAATTAAATAAATAAGTGAAATTTGTAAACTTCAGGAAACAATGTTTCTGTCAACAAAGAAAGCCAAAGTTAGCTTGGCCTACATTACGTCCTTTTTCTGGCATTGCATACTGTATCTTAAACATGAACTTTTATGTACTGATACATATATACATGTAGCTGCTAGACTACAATTTGGAGTGACAAAATATCTACAACACTATGAAATGCCTTGCGTCTTCAATTCATTTGACAAAGAGACACATAAAACAATATGGACTTTATAGAAAATGTCAGATAATTCACCAATTTATACTACACAGTGAATAACAAAACACACATACTCTGTCCTCATCAATCATTTGACAATTGTATATGTGGTCCCATCCCTCGTACAGGTCCCCTTGTTTGGCTACATCTCCAACATTTACATAGTTCAGTGCTGCCCTCTGACATAATTCAGCAGCAAGTGTTGATTTTCCTGTACCTGGAGTACCTGCAATTAACAGAGAAATCATCTGAAAAATACACACAAAACACAAAGCAATATTAGTATACCATAGCTAAGAACCGGGAGAGATTTGTGATTATTTCAGGAGTTTTGGACTCCAGTAAGGGAGGTTTGCATGTAACATGTTGATCAAAATTTTCAAAATGAAAATCAGTTTGAAAGTAATACTATAACATGGTCCAAATGCAAAATTTGTAATATTTCAAGAAAACACAGGTTTTTTTATCCTTATAAATAAAAAAACCATGAGTTTACATCACCAATTTTTTTCTATGCAAAAAAAGAGTCTGCAGAACACAACACAAAGGCAGTTATGGTTTTCAGCTAAACAGGTTGGATAATAAATTTTCTTTGTCTTTTTGAAAAACCTTGTAATGAATTTGGAGACTTGCATTAATTCACACACATTGGGATTCTTTAGCAAATGATATTAATCCAATAATTTTCTGAGGATTTCTAAGTTCAGATATGTTGTTGGTGTCACAACACATCTTCATTATGAGTTTTTTCTTTTCCAAACACCATACTTTACTTTGATTTTACTTTATCAGTGCCCTGGTTTTAGAGCATATGTGGAATTATATATTAAATTTAGAAGGAAGAAAACATCTGTATGGTTGATTAGTACATTCATGTTCCACAACACCTGTGATTTCAAAGAACAAATGTCTGGCCATAGAAGAAATTCAGACATAGTTCACAGTAGATAGCGTCTAGAGTTACAGATATCAAATTGATCAAGAAGGTACAGGGGAGGGTTACAAAGCTGATCTCTTGACTTAAGAACTTATCATACAAGGATTGGAATGCCTGAAGAGATTAAATCTGCAAACGCTTCATCATTACTGAATTCGGGAGATATCAAAAATGTTTTTAAAATAGTGAAACATAGTTATGATTACAGAGTGGTAGAAGACTTTTTTTTCAAATGGACACCTCAAGTCGAAAAAAGGTGTCAAAAGAAAATATTTTCAAAATATATATTGTTGATGTGGATATGGAGGCTTTCTGTCTGTACCCATTAATTTTCCTAATAAATCCTAATAATAAAAAAGTAATAGGAGATTTGTATGTTACAAGTGCCGTGGTCAACAAATCCCGGACAGACGTGAACAAATCCAACTAGTCTAAAATTATACAATAACATTGACATGCATGCTACTCTTATACATATAAAAAAAATCTGCGACACAGCTCCTGTCAAACTTTCCTTACTGTGTTGAATTACGGTCTTAGATATACCCGAGTCCGTCAGTAACATTGTACCAGCAGGTCTGTGGTATCCGAGTCTGTCAGTAACATTGTACCGGCAGGTCTGGGGTATCCTAGTCCATCAGTATCATTGCACCAGCAGGTCTGTGGTATCCCGAGTCCATCAGTAACATTGTACCAGCAGGTCTGTGGTATCCCGAGTCCATCAGTAACATTGTACCGGCAGGTCTGTGGTATCCGAGTCGTCAGTAACATTGTACCAGCAGGTCTGTGGTATCCCGAGTCCATCAATATCATTGTACCAGCAGGTCTGGGGTATCCGAGTCCGTCAGTAACATTGTACCGGCAGGTCTGTGGTATCCCGAGTCCATCAATATCATTGTACCAGCAGGTCTGTGGTATCCGATTCCATCAGTAACATTGTACCAGCAGATCTGTGGTATCCGAGTCGTCAGTAACATTTTACCAGCAGGTCTGTGGTATCCGAGTCGTCAGTAACATTGTACCAGCAGGTCTGTGGTATCCGAGACGTCAGTAACATTGTACCAGCAGGTCTGTGGTATCCGAGACGTCAGTAACATTGAACCAGCAGGTCTGTGGTATCCCGAGTCCGTCAGTAACATTGTACCAGCAGGTCTGGGGTATCCGAGTCCATCAGTATCATTGCACCAGCAGGTCTGTGGTATCCGAGTCGTCAGTAACATTGTATCAACACGACTGTGGTATCCCGAGTCCGTCAGTAACATTGTAACAGCAGGTCTGTGGTATCCGAGTCGTCAGTAACATTGTACCATCAAGTCTGGGGTATCCGAGTCCATCAATATCATTGTACCAGCAGGTCTGTGGTATCCGAGTCTTCAGTAACATTGTACCAACACGTCTGTGGTATCCCGAGTCCGTCAGTAACATTGTACCAGCAGGTCTGTGGTATCCGAGTCTTCAGTAACATTGTACCAACACGTCTGTGGTATCCCGAGTCCGTCAGTAACATTGTAACAGCAGGTCTGTGGTATCCGAGTAGTAAGTAACATTGTACCAGCAGGTCTGTGGTATCCCGAGTCCATCAGTAACATTGTAACAGCAGGTCTGTGGTATCCGAGTCGTCAGTAACATTGTACCAGCAGGTCTGTGGTATCCCAAGTCCATCAGTAACATTGTAACAGCAGGTCTGTGGTATCCGAGTCGTCAGTAACATTGTACCAGCAGGTCTGGGGTATCCGAGTCCATCAATATCATTGTACCAGCAGGTCTGTGGTATCCGAGTCGTCAGTAACATTGTAATTACAGGTCTGTGGTATCCGAGTCCATCAATATCATTGTACCAGCAGGTCTGTGGTATCAGAGTCCGCCAGTAACATTGTACCAGCAGGTCTGGGGTATCCGAGTCCGTCAGTAACATTGTAACGGCCGGTCTGGGGTTTCCGAGTCCATCAATATCATTGTACCAGCAGGTCTGTGGTATCCGAGTCCGTCAGTAACATTGTACCAGCAGGTCTGTGGTATCCGAGTCCGTCAGTATCATTGTACCAGCAGGTCTGTGGTATCCGAGTCCGTCAGAAACATTGTACCGGCAGGTCTGTGGTATCCGAGTCGTCAGTAACATTGTACCAGCAGGTCTGTGGTATCCGAGTCCATCAATATCATTGTACCGGCAGGTCTGGGGTATCTGAGTCCATCAATATCATTGTACCAGCAGGTCTGTGGTATCAGAGTCCGTCAGTAACATTGTACCGGCAGGTCTGGGGTATCCGAGTCCATCAATATCATTGTACCAGCAGGTCTGTGGTATCCGAGTCGTCAGTAACATTGTACCAGCAGGTCTGGGGTATCCGAGTCCGTCAGTAACATTGTACCGGCAGGTTTGGGGTATCCGAGTCCGTCAGTAACATTGTACCAACACGTCTGTGGTATCCCGAGTCCGTCAATATCATTGTACCGGCAGGTCTGTGGTATCCGAGTCCATCAATATCATTGTACCGGCAGGTCTGGGGTATCTGAGTCCATCAATATCATTGTACCAGCAGGTCTGTGGTATCAGAGTCCGTCAGTAACATTGTACCGGCAGGTCTGGGGTATCCGAGTCCATCAATATCATTGTACCAGCAGGTCTGTGGTATCCGAGTCGTCAGTAACATTGTACCAGCAGGTCTGGGGTATCCGAGTCCGTCAGTAACATTGTACCAACACGTCTGTGGTATCCCGAGTCCGTCAATATCATTGTACCAGCAGGTCTGTGGTATCCGAGTCGTCAGTAACATTGTACCAACACGTCTGTGGTATCCCGAGTCCGTCAGTATCATTGTAACAGCAGGTCTGTGGTATCCGAGTCCGTCAGTAACATTGTACCAGCAGGTCTGTGGTCGAGGAACAAATCTACCAGTGCGAGTAAACGTGTACACACTTTATGCTGAATATAAACTAGTAATTACATATACTTTCGATTAATTCATTGCCTTAGTAAATATAACAACTGTTTGAACAATAACGTTAACATTAACAACAAAAGATACACAACCTGTTATCAATATGTTTGGACCATGTGCTCGTGCCGCCATGTTGTTTGTATGGCAAATGGACATGCTCAGTGACGATTATTTCCCGGAAGTTTCAAACCGAAACCGGAAGTAAACACATTACCAGGTTTTGGTGTACGTATACGTTACTTAAATCAACGTCACAATATCTGGTAATATGACATAAGGAGGACAACATAACAAGCTTAAGAAGTGTAACCATGACGTCAGGGACGATTCTCAGACAGAGGATAGCAGACGATCGATTTGCAACTGATCTTGTTTTGAGCTTCTTCGTTGCAGCTTTAAAAAGTTACAAATTTGATTCTTTGGTGAAACCATTTCCTCCTCACTTCTGTAAAGAAGATGGAGAGAAGGATATGAAATCACTGGTAATTTTTTCATTATGTCAATTAGTATGTTGATTATGATTGTTTATGTATGACACATGAACCAATATACTAGAATAGATTGATAAAACTTTCAGCAATAGGTTGTTTCCAAAAATAAAGACAAATGCTTACTGGATGTCAAGAGTAGTTATCAACAATTGGGAATGGTTTGCATTGTTTAGAGGAGTATTGGTAAGTTTCAAGTAACAGGATATCTGTCAAAGACCTATGGACATCATAGTCATTTCAAACACTTCTTCAATCTTGGTAGCTGTCAATACTGTGGCCAAGACAGAAAATTACATGTAACTAATAGACAGTAAGAATCCTCATCTTTGTAGCTATTGTCTAAGGATTTTCACTATTTATACCTTATCTGTAGAAAGTTATAACCCTTTCAACAACAACAGTTTGTTTACTAGCAAAGAAAACTTTTCCAAAAGTCAGGGACATACAATATTTTGTATGTCAACATTGAAGGTATTGAAATTTCTACAAAAATACATTTATCTAATGTCATCCAGGCTTCATTTGTTACATTTATACATGTGTCAAATGAGAACGCATTGCTCAGTTGCTCAGATGAATGGTAAGCTTAGGGATATATTTTCCACCGCCAGTTAAGTCAATCACTTCCACTTGAGGCTGTTTGCCCTGTTGTCATATTTTTAAGATTATGTATCACTCCCACCTGTAAAATTGAAGTATGATAGATAAAAAAAAATGCTAAACAATCTTGAGTTTACAATTTCAATAGCAAAATATGTGTATACTACATTGTATATGGTTGTATAAATCCAAGTTTGATTTAGAAGCCTGTTACTTGATCTAGAGTATATCTGCAACAGTTAATTTACAGAATCTGACTTGGGTAACTTTCAATTAAAGCGAATCAAACAATAACCTAGAATGGACAATCTTGTACATAACACATCTGATTGTGCCCTGAAATATATGGTAAATTTTACTTAGAAATCCAGGACTTAAATACATTCCAAGGTTATGCTGTCATTGTTAATCCATCCTTGCATGAACATATACATTATAAATATAATATTCCTCATTCTTCTTAAGCAAAGGATATTCAGCCTTATACTGTACTTGCTTAAATATATTACATATAGCCTGCCTTATTTGCTATTTACTTTAACTAAAATAGCTGAAAATGGCCCATTGCTCTCAGCTCCCAACATTGTCCCTTCATTTACAGTGTATATTCATTAAGAGATTATGCCATGTATACACAGTACATATTCAGATCCAAATTTCCTAATTTAAAATGCAACTTCTTTTATTTTAGGAAAAGACAGTTGAAGAAATGCCTATGTTGAGACATCTAGCTTCCAATGGAATTTGTACCAAAGAAAGTGCTCTAGATCTAATGCAGTGGGTTCTCGACAGAGGTTCATTTTCCATGAAGACAATGAAGTCGTCCCAGGTATTGGTAATTTAGGGAATATTGATGATTTTGTCAAATCACTATAATAATTCATATCTATATCAAATATATGTAATTCTGTACATAACATAGCACTGTACATGGGTAGTCATATAAATAATAATAAAAAATATAGGCAATAATCTAACACATTATGTATAACATATTTATCTGTCATTGATTCTTTTTTTGTCCTATAATAACCTTACCCCTTTTGTCAGAGAATTTATGATATAATGTGTCATTTTATTCCAATGGTTTGATATTAGAGGAAATAAGGTACATTGCCAATACTTGTTTCCAGTATAAGATAATGAATTTTTATTGGAACTGCACAAACAATGTACTCTTTTGAGTACTTGTTAAGACTACAGGTACCCAATTAGTTTCTCGAAAATTTAGATAAGATCTTGCAGATTTTTTGGAAGAAGTTCATATTCTTACTGAAACCAAGGAAAGATTTGACGAAATTGTAACAGGTGTAATTATTTGTACATATCATAGCATCTACAATATATTAAGGATTTTGCGAAATGTATTATTAAGACTTAAAACTATCTATAATCTCAAACAGTTTGAAGAGATAAAGAAGCAGACAGGAGACACTGTGCAAACCACCGACCCTGATTTTGTGTTTGAAGTTATACCTAGTGAAGCTGATGAAGCCAAATTTGAGGAAAATCGTCGACAGAGAAAAACAATGTTTGCTTACCATGGCAGTCGACTGGAAAACTTCCATTCTATCTTACATAATGGTTTGGCATCACATATGAACAAAGTAAGTGACTAAAACAATCAAATGACTATATACAATAAAAACATCACATATTTATTTAAAACACATCAGAATATTTACCTAGATTTTAGAATTATCTCTCCTCCCCCACATTTTGAGATGCATAGCTTTCCCCAATACATAAATGATGGAGACAACTTTTGATTTTCAACATTAAAAGAAATAGCCTCTCAATCATGGCAAGGTGCATTGATATATTTCAGATTTCTGTATTTGGCGAAGGTACATACCTGTCAAGCGAGCTGTCAGTTTCCCTTCTCTACAGCCCGACTGGCCTTGGTTGGGACAAGAGTTGTTTAGGCCATAAGCTTAGCTGTGTGGCTGTTTGTGAGGTCATTGATGATGAGTCTGTGAAGTGTCAAGTTAAAGAGGGTAAGATTAGTGAAATCATTGGATTTCTTTCAAAGGTCTGATTTAAACAATATACAAGAATTGTGTGTGTGTGTGTGTGTGCGTGCGTGCGTGTGTGCGCGTGCGTGCACGTGCGCGTGCCTGCATGTGTGTGTGTGTGTGTGAAGAGGAAATGTTGGTTTTATACATAAAGTTGTGATATCACTGTGTCACTATAGAATTGAATAGAATTGTGATAAACAGATACCAGGTACATGAAATTCAAAGAAAAAAATTTTGCCTTTAGAATAATTTCTGCATCTTTTTAACTTCAAACTTCATGTTTGATACTCTTGGGTGACATCTTGATTTTTTCTTTGAATCAACATCTTGATAAAGAATCAGCAAATTTTCATGGTTAGTAATTTTTTCATTGGTCATAGAATCATGATCAGACTCAACATAGCATTGTAATTGATGGCAGTGTATTCAAATGTTACCCATTAACGTCATCTATGAAATTATTACTGGTTATTTAAAATGATTTTAATTACTTTGATATATTTTAGGTGATATTTTTACATTTTAATGGCTTGAAGTTATAGTAGTGAATGCTTGGAATCATGCTCCCTGTGGCATACATCAAGTCTGTTGAATTTATAAGTGGACAAAATTGGGAAGAAAGAAATATTTGTACACCTTATAATGGATGGTGACTATGTTTGATGTTTAAACTATGATTGTCTCCCTTCATCAACTTGATTTAGATGGTATCGATGGAAAAACAAACAAGAAACGAGCACATGCAGCCAACAGTGAAGGAGGAGATGTTCCAGAAAAGTACTATGTTGTACAAAACAATGACATGCTTCGTATCAAGTATCTGCTTGTCTATGTGGAAAAAACATCACAACTGACAAGGTACAGTCTAGTAATGAATATTTTCAGAAAAGGTTGAAGAATTAAAAGAAAAAAATGTTTATCTATTTTATTGTTTTGGATTAGTTAAATTGTCACATTATTATGGCAGAAATATACTGTTAGGTAAAAAATTATTCACCTTCTAAACTTATTATCAGACATTACTTGCAAGTTTATAGAGGTGAATTAAAAAGATTAGATATGAACTGTGTGAACCTATCAGTTCATTGTAAAAATGTTGTGTGCATGCTAAGATATTTCACAAATATTTCAATAGTTTTGATCTATAGGGTATGTAAATTTACATCCTGCATGTGCATGTATAGCACAACAACATTAGACTTAACAATCCATGAGATATTGTTGACCATTGGTGAAATGTTTTAATACAAACATCTTACTTAGTAGACACAAACCCATTTGGCTAATGTTTTTTCATATCTTCTAAGCACTAGACAATAATAATTAAACAATTTATCAAAATACAATTTTTTCATATGATGAATGAAGGGTGAAAAGCAACAAACACTCTTTTTAACACAGCAACAAAATAAGGTATATTTGATTTAGCAATAATATACATTACCTTTCACATTTTCTAACCTGTGTTCAGATCCGTTTGGTTATGAAAAGGTCAGGGGCCTCTTGCCCATTTCCAGCTTTTTATGCTTCTGCCATCACATGATCAAGGGCTTAGATTGTTATCCCTCGGCCAGCATTCTGTCATTCCATCAATACTGTTCATTCATGCTTCATCAGATACAGATATAGAACTGTTATTTCATTTCACCTATGTAGTTGTATGATGATGATATTCAAGTCAAGTTATGGTCAATTTATTTTTATATAGTTATGGCCTTTTAAATTTAGAATTTTGATTAGAAAAATCTATCTAAACAATGAGACTAAAAACCTTGCCAAACTCCACTGGGAATTAAAAAGAAAAGTCTGAAGGAAGGACTTTGAATTTAATTTCATGAGTCAGAAGTATACCTTTTAACACATCAGTAAGACTGAAAAGTTAAAAACTCTTCCTTGGTCACTAGCAGGTGTAATTTTGTTACTCCAAAACATTCAATTTTGCTTCCTTCAGTTGACTGTATCTTTTTATTACAGGACAAGTACATCACAAAGATGGCACAATAGCTGGTTATACCAACATCGGTTTGTTTTGATGATTGTGTTGTACATGTTGTTGTTAGCCCTTGTGGCTCTGTACAACTCCAGGACGTTCCAGTATCATCTAAAAAAATTCTGGAAATACAGGTAGTCCAATCTATATAGCACATTGATCGGCAGACTAAAGGTTTGATTCTTTTTAATGTTTATCATACCACTGAGTTTGTTGCTTAGGAAACATTTGGGTTCATAAAATGTTTTGTTGATTGCTTATCAAGTTATATTTACATTTATTTAATATATATGGTTGATAAAAGTACAAGATATACACAAAAATATTAACATTTCTGTAACTATACACCGGTGTAATAAATTATATCCTGTTGTTTATAAAATGTTTATAAATTCAATTGTGTTGATCCAATCTGTTGACAGATTTATTTTGTTTCTTTTTTTTTTTTTTTGTGTTTTGAAAGTTAATTAAAATTTACTGATTCATTCATTTCATGATTGTTTTTTTTAGCCCACCATCATCAGATGGTGGGGTATTCAAATCGTCTTGCCGTCCGTGGTCCGTCGTCCGTCAGTCCGTAAACAATTCTTGTTACCGCTATTTCTGGAAAAGTACCGGATGGATCTTTCTCAAATTTCATATGCAGGTTCCCCTTGGTCCCTAGTTGTGCATTGTACCTTTTTTGCACTGATTCGAATTCAAGATGGCCGACAGGTGGCCATCTTGGATTTTGGAAGTAAAAGTTTGTTACCGCTATTTATTGGAAAGTACTGGATGGATCTTTCTCAAATTTCATATGCAGGTTCCCCTTGGTCCCTAGTTGTGCATTGTACCTTTTATGGACTGATTCAAATTCAAGATGGCCGACAGACAGCCATCTTGGATTTTGGATGTAAAAGTTTGTTACCGCTATTTCTGAGAAAGTACCGGATGGATCTTTCTCAAATTTCATATGCAGTTTCCCTTTGGTCCCTAGTTGTGCATTGTACCTTTTTTGGACTGATTCGAATTCAAGATGGCTGACAGACAGCCATCTTGGATTTTGGATGTAAAAGTTTGTTACTGCTATTTCTTGGAAAGTACTGGATGGACCTGTCTTAAATTTAATATCCTGTTTCCCCTTGGTCCCTAGTCGTGCATTGTACCTTTTTTGGACTGATTCGAATTCAAGATGGCCGACAGACAGCCATCTTGGATTTTGGAAGTAAAAGTTTGTTACCGCTATTTCTTGACAAGTACTGGATGGATCTTTCTCAAATTTCATATACAGTTTCCCCTTGGTCCCTAGTTGTGCATTGTACCTTTTTTGGACTGATTCGAATTCAAGATGGCCGACAGACAGCCATCTTGGATTTTGGAAGTAAAAGTTTGTTACTGCTATTTCTTGGAAAGTACTGGATGGATCTTTCTCAAATTTCATATGCATGGTTCCAAGTTGTGCATTATACCTTTTTGGACTGAAAATCAAGATGGCTGACAGGCAGCCATCTTGGATTTTGGATTTTGTTACCGCTATTTCTGAGTTTGGTCCCTAGTTGTGCATTGTACCTTTTTTGGACTGCTATTTCTGGCCGACAGACAGCCATCTTGGATTTTGGATGTAAAAGTTTGTTACAGCTATTTCTTGGAAAGTACTGGATGGATCTTTCTCAAATTTCATATGCACCCTTTTTCCAAGTTGTGCATTATACCTTTTTGTCTTAAAAAGTTTGTTAATAAATTTCATATGCAGTTTCCCTTTGGTCCCTAGTTGTGCATTGTACCTTTTTTGGACTGATTCAAATTCAAGATGGCCGACAGACAGCCATCTTGGATTTTGGATGTAAAAGTTTGTTACCGCTATTTCTTGGAAAGTACTGGATGGATCTTTCTCAAATTCCATATGCAGTTTCCCCTTGGTCCCTAGTTGTGCATTGTACCTTTCTTGGACTGATTCGAATTCAAGATGGCTGACAGACAGCCATCTTGGATTTTGGATGTAAAAGTTTGTTACCGCTATTTCTGAGAAAGTACCGGATGGATCTTTCTCAAATTTCATATGCAGTTTCCCTTTGGTCCCTAGTTGTGCATTGAACCTTTTTTGAACTGAAATTTCATCTTGGATTTTGGATGTAAAAGTTTGTTACATTTCTTGGAAAGTACTGGATGGATCTTTCTCAAATTCCGTATGCAGTTTCCCCTTGGTCCCTAGTTGTGCATTGTACCTTTTTTGGACTGATTCGAATTCAAGATGGCCGACAGACAGCCATCTTGGATTTTCGAAGTAAAAGTTTGTTACTGCTATTTCTTGGAAAGTACTGGATGGATCTTTCTCAAATTTCATGTACAGTTTCCCCTTGGTCCCTAGTTGTGCATTGTACCTTTTTTGGACTGATTCGAATTCAAGATGGCCGACAGACAGCCATCTTGGATTTTGGAAGTAAAAGTTTGTTACTGCTATTTCTTGGAAAGTACTGGATGGATCTTTCTCAAATTTCATATGCAGGTTCCCTTTGGTTCCAAGTTGTGCATTATACCTTTTTGGACTGATCCGAAATCAAGATGGCTGACAGGCAGCCATCTTGGATTTTGAGAGTAAAATCTTGTTACTGCTATATCTGAGGAAGTACTGGATGGATCCTTTTGATATTTCATAGATATTGGTTTCCCTTGTTCCTTAGTTGTGCATTGTACCTTTTTTGGACTGATTTGAAATCAAGGTGGCCCACAGGCAGCCATCTTGGATGTTGACAGTAATACAGCACAAGCATATTGTCCATTATCCACCTGTAACTGACTGCTATCTAATAATACTTTGGGATCTTTTTCAAATGATATTTGCTAATAGGTGCTTAATAAAAATATCTTGTGCCATCATTGAGTACATTCAATGAAGACCAGTTCATGAACATTTACAACACCTGTAACAAACAAAAAAAAATAAGCAAATCTTCAAGAACTGAAAACAGATCCTCAAATGGTGGGCGCCAAGATCCCTCTGGGATCTCTTGTATTTTTGAAATTGGCCAGAAAGATATATTTAAATTCAAGGTAACTGTTAGATAAATCATGTTATATGTTGATTCAACTCACACTATCAAGCTCAGTTTAAGTAACATGTCTTTCCTTCCATCAATTTTATACTTTAGTGTAAGAAAAAGCACACTTATCATGCTCACATTAAATAACATTTTGTAACTAATGTCAATTCTTGACCTTTAGTGTAGGAAAGCACAGTTGAACTTAAAGCCAATCAATACTCTAATCATAATATGTTGAATCATATTCGGACTTGATAATCCAAAGTATTGTCTGATCTCTAACAAAACGATCTTATCTCAGTGTCAAAACAAGACAGTGTATGTATATATTCAACATTGTCTTTCAGCATATCATCTAACTTTTCCTACCTATTTTGATTTACATTACAATAAGTGATATAATAGATTGCTTAATAACATCATCTCCGCGATATAGATAACAATATTGTGTTCTATTTTCACATCCTGTCTTCTGTAACATCTAATATACTTATCAGATTGAGAGTTAAAGTTACGGCCATATGTCATTATCGCCGTACCATATTTGGTTGCTGTCTGTATATTTTATATGTATTGCATATATGTACCTATTTTTTCTTTAAGAAATCAGGTCTTGTGTTGATATACGTTGTATCTGTTTTTATTATCTACAAAAGAAATCCACTGATCTTGATTAGCTTTGTGTTATATCCAGTTTTGCTCTTCTCAAATCTTACTGAACTTTTCAACTGAAAAATGGATCAACTTATAAAATTGATATTTGCCTTCATGGTAGTTTGTTGAAAATGTTTTGTCATATGTATTCATTAATATCTGTAAAGTGGAATTCATCTGGTACTATTTGTTGGAAGAGAGTGAAAAATACCTCAGTACCTTTTGTACCAAACTTCTATGCAATATTGATTTATGTTGATTTTAAATGTTTGATATTTACTATGCAAAAATTTCAGTATTAGTGAAAGGATGGCTATCATTTAATGTTTTGACACAATTTTTTTTCTCTCAAAAATTCGGTACCCTATTGTGCATGTCTTATGAAATATGACTGTTTTATTATATATTTGATCTTCTTTATAGTTATTGACATCATGACCAGTTAATAAAGCTTTTCGTCATAGATAATAGATGTTAATACCAACTCATTTTTTACAGTTTGCTATTTTAATTACTATGTTTATTCGAGATTCTTCATGTTTTTGATGGTAAACGCATATATCAATTTATGTTAAAGTCAAAATTTTAATATGATGTCACATCATTTGTGTTGCCAATGATACTTGGAGTATGACAAAACAGCCTTTCCAAAGCTAAAAAAAAGTAACAATTCTTGGTGCCAAGGGTTGATATAATAGCATTGTTTCGTAGTATGGTAGTATTCTTATCAGGAGATCAGAAACTAGAAAATAAATAGATAAATAACTTCTTGTTTTTCACATTTTTGGCCAGGTTGCAAACAGTGCAAATCAGGGTTATAGTATTGTGAATGTTGGGCGGGTGGGGAAAAGGGTTACCAGTGTTGTAGAATCAAGTACTCCTAGAGTTTTTGACGTCGAAGCTTGAAACTTTGTAGGATGTTTATATATATGTTGATGATGTGCACCTCCTATTATGGATTCATTACGGGCATTTTTTTTATTTTCCGGGCATTGGAACTTAGGCACTTTCCGCAGTTTGGCAGGGAAAAGCCAAGATTGCAGCCTTTGCCCCTCATTGGTTGAGATGTTGTTTTGTGCTTGATAGCCTCTCATTGGCCGAAACGTTGTTTTTAGCACCATATAGAAACTGCACTCATCCTGCAACCTGGCCAATTGTGGCTTTGTCCCATTTTATTGAATGTGTTTTCATTACAACTGATGATGATTTATCTTTTATAAACTGGATTAATGTTTTTGTTTTGAAAACAAGAGTACAATTTTACACAGAGGTGCATATTAATAATTTATTAGTGCTTTGAGAGAGCCTTGTTTCAAAACCAGAGACAATGTATGTAATTTACAGTAGAAAACATTTCTGTCTATACTACCTACAGAGGCAAACTTTTTGGGATACGTCTCGTATCTTTGTTTATATTACAGGTAACAACATGTCAGTGCTTTGCTTTTTAGAACACATGATAAGGTCACTGTTCATGGCCATTTCATAATTCCACTATTCTATTTTTCATCAGAAACCTGGCCCCGGTTGCTCAAAGTTTAGTCAAAGTTATCCAGTAGGTAATAAAAACAGAATTGCTTTCACTGATCAAACAAGAGTTTTAAAAGCAAAAGAAACATTGATGATATATCGATTTGACCTGTATCAACAAGTCTACATTCATGAAATAATAAATAGTGTTGGGAGGTTTTTTTTAACATTTTCACTCACCAGTGTTTATATCTTAAGTCTTTGAACAACCGGTACCAGGCTGAATGTAATTTCATGTCACCAAAGAGTTATCCTTATAACTGATACACAACTGTAATTTTATAAAGTCGGATCGTATAAATCTGTTTCAAAATATGAAATCCATTTCATGTAAGGAAAACGTTATATTTAGCAATTACTAAATAGGTAACCACTTATATACATGTATTAACATTTATATTTTGGGGATAATGCATGATGATATGATCTCTAAGCTGTTTATTGTTTTGAAATGCTAGCTTTCCTCCCATTCACATGAGATTACTAGTTTATACATAGTAGAGGTGTCAACTAATTCAGTAGTCCAGGATAGGTCTACTTTTTCTTAATGGTGGTCAAAACCTTTTATGGTAGAGAGTTCCACCGTTCAGTGTTGCAACTGCAGCAAAAAGAGTTTTTTTATTTCATTGGTGACAATAACAAATGTCAATGGTCCGATCGTCCAGACTGATCAGTTAACTTGAAAAATATGTTTATATATGACTTCAAAGTATTTTTGACTCAGATAGTTGAAATACAGAATTTGAGAAAAGGCATACATGTATTCCATCGTAATACGTTTCTTCAATGTACACCTGTATATTAAAGAGTAATATTCGTCTACATTTATTTTCAGTCATTGATAGATGGTAACCATAGATATGCTGTCATGACTTGACAATATCATTACAACTATCAAAGATCAATTAAGAAATTATTATTATTTATTTTCTGGACATCATTAAACAAATATTTGAGTAGTTTTGTTGTTTATGATTTATTTCTACGGGTCATGATGACAACGTGCACAACAGATATGTACCACAAGTAGCTGTGTGTTATTTGTTTATTGTAAATTAGGAATATCTGACGTGAAACACTTTCTAATTGATGACTTGAAATCACAGGAAAACATGGCAACATTATGTAATACTCCGTCATTACTTTATCTTTCACTGTAGACAGCGAACCAACAACACGATAAAATCTACTCATTTCAGTCTTTAGAAAATTATTTGCATTTGCAGTATTTTGATTCCGACTCGGAACAGCTACTGTAAGTTCAGTGGCAATGTCAATAAATGCTCTGTTGAATCCACGTAATATGGTACATAATGTAAGTGACGGTCCCGTGGCTTATAACGGGATGGATACGGTAATATGAAAACTGGGGTCGTGAGATCCGTCTAGATGATCTATGCTAGCAACTGTAGTGTGTACATGTATATATATCATGTATAATAATAGAAGAAGGAAGTTATGACATGCTAATGGCAGTCATGCATGCTTCGGTAATTTTATAACATTGGAGTAACTGAATTAACTTTAGCGTATGGAAAAAAATCACTCATTCAACTATCCGGTAGTTTATTACGAATGAACTGAAGTATTTGTCGATACAATGATATAGTCAAACTAGAATGTTATTCCTGCTTAATTTAGCGTAGATTAATTCTATAGGCCGATTGCATTGTATTTCAGGTTTGTCCTGTATAACCATGTCGCCAGTTGATTACGTTACCAGTTCAAACGCACATTTCACGGAGTATTGATGATGGGGCGTTGCACAAACAACCTGAAAACTGTTACTGTCGTTCTTAGTATGGACGACAAAAATAATCAAACATGGATCTGTTTCTTGGGCAGTCATATCCCAACTTTCACGTTAGGGTTTGGTTGGTCAGCACCGGTTAAACAGAATTATTTTTGTTATCAACCCAAACTTTAGGGATAACTTAATATGTCGGATATCTTAAATATGAGGTATTGCTGACTCCCTCCACAACAGACTAATGTAAGATTCTATTGATCTTGAACAGGTAAAACAGGAAAAAATGATGGAAGAAATTCTTGTCTCATAGACATATTCCAGTTGTATAATGTGTGTCTAGAGAAAGTGGTGTGTTAGCAATAACACTCTCTTTCAACTGCATGCACACAGTAGTATTTTTGTTTTTCCTATGCGACAGTTACTACTGTTTTGTTTTTGTCACCAGTACGTGGCTGAATCGATGGGACTAACAGGTGCCCTTTACAATAAGAACCGGCAGTGTTATCTAAATACATTGTACCATTGACCTATAGGTTATCTTTACGTCTAATTTTCTATTGTCGCTAGATCTATGATCAGAGTATTATGAAAATGTTCCTGTATTATAATCGACTGTCGAATTTTCTAGCACTTCATGTAGTTTTTTCTTGTGTTTGTTTTGCGTGGTGTATAGATGAATCTGTAAACACGAATGATGATGCTGTAAACTTGACGACCACGACAAAAAGCTCGATGCATGAGCTGTCGGCGATGAAAGTACAGGAGTTTATGATGACCCAAGAGCAAACAAACTCTCGATTTTCAGAGGCCATGGAACAACTTAACGAATACCAAAACATCGCCAGATCCTGTGAAATTGAGATGGCACGACTACGAAATACTATCGACAGACAAAGTAAAGAGATTGACAGGATGAAAATGAATATTGGTATTTCTGATATCGATATATTTCAGCGAAAAGAATATTTGGATCAGGGACAAGACTTACCTGTTTTCTCCAGGTCAAGCACACGTACGTTTTGACAGCACACTATATAAATCTATATTTACAGTAAGTACTATAAAGGCTATTTTTGAGACGTTCCATTGTTCATAAGTTTTGAGGGTACACTATAATTCTTCTCGTAATTTCCATGAAAATGTTTCCGATTCAATATTTTAGCAAACATAAAGCTTTTGCAGTATAAGACATGTAGCATGCTGGTTATGAACAGGTAATTTTGGTTTTTAAAATAAGTCGATATCCACTTATGACAAGGCTATTTCTAAATGCAGCCTTATGATATACCGAAACCTGCATGCGTTCGCACGGACTCGTGCACTCCACGGGGTCACATTCCCTGATAACTGGCGTATCAGCCCGTTAATACCTCAACGATTTTCTGCTGAATAAAAGCAGAGTAAAGGCAAAATTCATGGTGGATTCTACCGCAGATATGTGGATACATATGTCATATATACACTAAAATTGATTCGTTTTGTAGGTGTTAAGTATGTCGGCTGATATGGGTCATTTTAGCTCACGTGCCCTTTAAGTGACGAGGCCTCTCGTAGCGCGGCATATGTCGTCTGGCGTCAACGTTTCACTTTAAACGACTTAATTTTAGTAACCGGGAGCACGTAACATGTTTGGACGGAAAGCTACTAAGTTTGTTCTAATGAATGACCTTGGGCCACAGGTCACAGGGGTCAGATATGTTGAAGTCTTCAAACAACTTCTCAGTAAGCAATAGTCTTAGGGTAATTATGTATATATTGGGCCCGTAGCGTGCTAGGCTGAAGGGCCGTCATGTCTGTCCAATTAACATAGTAGTAGCATGTTTGGAGAATTTTATTTCTAGTTTGCAAAACAAATGAGCGATTCAACCCCATTAGTCGTCTATTTTTATTTTGGCTTTATCCTTACCGAGAAAACGATTTCCTATTTGGGGAAAAGGTAAATTGAAAAAAAAACAGCCGTTACCAGCCGACACAGTACATTTAAAGAAATCGAATTGCGTTTTTCATATATTCTATCGAAAAGTTCAGTTTGACCCTAATCAACCACAAAAGTTATTAATGGTAAACCGACTATTTTTTGCATCGCCCCAAACTTCAGGAATTGCTTAATATGTCGGATTTTTTTTATATATATATTGCAGGCATAGTCCACACCAGGCAAACAATTTTACAAAAAAAAACTCTTCTCGTAAGGACTTCAGTATACATATAATATATCTAATGTTACTTTTGTTATTGACTCTATAAGATTTGTAATGCACATTATCATTAAACATCAATAATGTTATTCTCACTTGTGCACGAAGTAAATGAACAAATAACTTCCGCGAAAGATCATGCATCACACATTGGATCTGAATCTCACGCCTTGAAAATAAAGTCAAACTTAAAATATCATCTATTAAACGGTAACACTGTATACTCTTTGAGACATTGCTTCTTGAATGAGCTGTCATCTACTTATTACAGGGATACAAGCAGCACAAGTAGCATTCTACGTACAACTGAAGTCCAACATAGAAAACATTGGAAACCACCAAACGATCAAATTCGATCATGTCCGAACCAACATCGGAAATGGCTACAATTATTTTACCGGGATCTTTACAATTCCTACACCAGGCACGTATGTTTTCTTCTGGACAACGGTCAGCTTCAACAACACTAGTGTACACACAGAGTTAACTGTTAATGGTAATCTGTATGGTATGGCGTTGTCGGATTCTGGAAGTCACTCTGAGTTCTCGTCCGCATCCAATGTAGTTGTGACGTCAGCGCTTCCTGGGGAAACTGTCTGGGTACGAACAGGTGCACAGCATTCTTCCGGCATTTTGGGTGGAGACCTCTCTACATTTTCTGGATGGCTTTTGTTTTAATTTGCAACAGGCTGTGAATCATCCCAGTCGAAACTTTACTGCTCATCAGTTTCGGTTTCAGATACATATATTTGAAAGTACATCAAGTATAGGTGTGCTATCGTTTCTAGAGTATGCTTTGAAAGTTATACCAATTTACCGTTTAATGCGTTGGTGTTCATCTCTGTTCATTTACAGTGACTTTGACCATAGTTCGGAAACATTGTATTTCCATTTGCTAAATGAAGTAAGGTGTTTTGATGCAAATTAGTGTACTTGGTGATTTCGCTATTATTAACCATGGTCACTTTTTGATAACGTTGCATTATTCAGATTTTCCTGGATGAAAGACGCCGTGAGAGAGCACTGATATTGCGCGGTCACTTGATTTGATTCTTATCGTAATCAGTTGATATATTTTGATTTTGGATTACGTTTTTTTTTTTATTTGTTTTCTACATCATTTTGGACTGCGTTGGTGGCTCGTTTAATAGGCTTTTATTTAGAGTGATTTGTTTTTGTCTTGCTTTTTATATTACGGATTTCGGCTCTTAACTCCTTTCAAAGTTTTTGACTTCGGATTACGTTTCTGGCTCGTTTAATAGGCTTTGAGTCTTGGTTACGTTTATTGCCTATTTTATATCTTTCGAGCATGGATTACGTTTTTTGGTGCAATTGATACATTTTGGGCGTGAATTACGGTTTTTTTTTATTATTCATTCATTTCTATTTTTCTTATGAATGTTTTTGGTTTGTTTTGCATTTTTAAGTTGGTTTAACGATATTTTACTCGTGTTATTGTTTTTGACTTTGGAGAAGTTTTTTTTTACTTAGTTTATAGTTTTGGGTAGAGTTAACGAATTTTGACTTTTTTTTATTATTTTGACTTATATATTATGAGTTAGGTTAAAGTTTTCTGACGTTTTTCGAGTCAGACCATGTATTTATGGAGCAATTTCGATCCAACATTTAACCAAATTACGTTACATTTATGACAAATAGTAAATCTGTTTTTAAGCTTGGGCATGAATTGTTCAAAGAATAATGCGGCTAATATATATTTTCAAGTTATACCATTCGCTGACATTTACTTACAGATATGATCAACATTTGTATCCATTTTCACAGTGACATTTGAGACATCCTGTTTATTATCCCTATTATCAGCCGTCTGGGGCACGCATGAATACCTCCCTGTGTGTCATTTCGTATGTAAATATAGGAGGACCGCTAAATAGGATACTACTGCAAATTGATCTATCTGATATGCATTATTGATTGACCATGCAACCAGTCCATTACATTCATTATTGTACAGTACATCCGTATACTATACAAATAGATTTTATCAAGAACATATTCCTTGATATTGGAAGTAAAATGATACAATAATCCGTCGGTTTTTAGGAACAAATATAAAAGCAAACGTAAAAAATATCTGTGTGCCAATCGAAAACACACTGACTGAATATACCGTGTTGATTGGTATGGCAAGTTACATATGGCCAATGTACATTACAAATTTAACTTGTGTAAATTGTAATGAACAATTGGACAGCTTTTTGACATGACTATGAAATATTTCTTAAGATTCTTGGTTATAGTATTTGTGTTTCAATAACATATTTATATTCTGGGCTTAATTATCCTAAGAGGAACGACATACAAAACTAACTAACCACAGTATCTACAAACATTGATGTTTGCATAGTTTTACTTATCACCTCTCACCCTAACACACACGCCCTCACACACCTTCACATCCTAACACACACTCTCTCTCTTACACACACACCCTCACACCCACACACACACCCTCACACACACACCCTCGCACACACACACACCCTCACACACACTCTAACACACACCCTCACACACACACCCTCAAACACACACAATCACACATCCTCGCACACACACATCCTCACACCCTTACACACACCCTCAGACACATACCCACACACACACCATCACACATGAACACCCTAAAACATGCTATTTCAGATCTACATCCTTATTAACATTTATTGCAAACGAAGACGTACGGAACATTTAGAAAGGATTAGAATTTGATTTTTAAAAAAGGTGAGAAAAGGGAAATCACACACGAACATCCTAAAAACATGCGACTTCATATCTACATCCTCATTAAGATTTATCTGTAACCAAGACGAAAATTGTATTATGCGACGCTGTGTAATTCTCTTGTTTCCTCATCTGATTTTAACGATAAAAGATAATCAATTATCATACTGTATGTATTTATGTATCTTACTTTTAAGTCGTCACCATTTGTGTAGATTTAGCATACTCACAACTACCTTGGAACAAACATCATAATGAATGAACATTTTCAACGATCTTGTACCGCACACTGTATAATTCAATTTAATAACATAACGTTCAGGCCTATGAAAGATGATTGTTTCATTGACAAAAACTTAAACAAACGATAGAAGTAATGCAGCTATCCAGTTTTAACAAAACTACAAAGTAATGATTACTATGTCAAAGCATTACTTCTGTAAGATGGAATACCGAACATTGACAAAATCCGTCTCTGTTCAGAGTAAATTATATATACCAGAGTAGCTGGTCTAGACTGAGGTGTTCTTGATAAAACATGATTGTTATTAATCTAGTTAGAACACATTGTCATACTTGTGTCATTTATGACACAATATACGGTCGTTACATCTAAGAGAAAGCACATATTCCAGAATCCTTGGAGACTGAGGTCGCTATGACAAATTCCCACGGGGGCGTCTTTGATCGTGGAACGGCTGTATAGAAATGTTTACGATTGCGGTCACCCTTGCATGTTTTCAGAAATATATACTTCTTGATATCGACCTGTGCGTCAAAAATCTGCAGTCACGTCAATGACGCGGAAAGCAGTCATGCCAAATTCAATCTAAGGTGGCAAAGTAATTGTCACTTTAAGAAACGGTTTCTATGAGTGGAATAAAGTTTGATGTGTATTATGCATATAAATATGTCTGGTGTTTCAGTTAGTGTCATCCTTGTTCTCATTTCGGAATGTGACATTGCCTATTTGAATTGATACACATGGCGAGTGTTTTCGATGAGCATTTACCCTTCCCGATTAACTTTTTAAAGAGATCCTTTCTGATACAACTTTGGCAATCTGATCATTTTCATGAAAGTACGTTAGGTGACTAGTACATTCTAACTCTGGTGATATACAAAGTATTCTGGTCTTGCGTTATGGAGAGATATGAGAAGGCAATAAGACTAGTGAAGAAACCTGAGCATAAACAAGATAGAATTATGCTGAATGAGATGACAATAGCTATGAAAATAAGTTTTACTTTTTAATGGCTATCAACATTTTTTCAGGTAGTATCGATTTCATACGTATCATATTGTTGTCGCTTTTCTCTGAAGTAAATCAGAATTATTAAAGCGCGAACTTTAATTGTCAATTTTAAGCCCATTTGAAAATTTTCTTCCCTTTTTATAGATTTTTTTATCTCTTCAGGTATTTTGTGTACAGTTTATATAGATTTAAATTTCTAATTTGTTACTAATTTAGACGCGGAAATATACTTTTGAATAAACACAGGAGACTATTTACCAAACGAAGCTATTCTACTAATGATATGCTAACAAATTATTCTGCCTTCACCGATTTAGTTCTGAATAATTTCCAATAATCCTACGTGTAAACATGAGAATGAAGAATATACATGTCATACGGTGGTCCATCCTCTATCGATTGTCACCAGTGTAAAACACGCTACGGTCGCTGCCTCTTGTGTATGGCTACTGGGCTCGTCTATCTGTAGCTATCAAACTATGTAACATGTGTTCGGTAAGATACCTTGTGAATTGTGATACCTTAATGAATTTTAGTGTGTAATTCGACTGTTAATTAATAGTCACCATTAGAGTGGAGGTTTACATAGATTTTGTTTTCTAAAACTCTGAGTCAGAACGTGGACTTCATCTTTGGAATTAAATACCAACAGAAAGGCACCAGCAAGACACATTTGAATGCCATATAACGTTTTTCATCAACTCAGGTGATCACATTTCATGAAAAATTAAAGTGTAACGAAACGTATGGGTTATATTACCTCCGGGAGACATGTCTCTTGATTCGTATGATAATACATACAGCATAGAGGAGTGAGCTCATTCAAGCGACAATTGCGACAGATTAAAGTTGGCCACTATTGTCTTACAGGTTTTCTATTTGGAAAGAAATCAATGGAACTGTTAGGATTGAAGTTTCTATCATCATGACAAATTGATAATTGTGAGAACTGACTTCAACCTCATCAACTTTTATAGACGACATAAAATGTGAAAAGTGTTTCAACATGCCTAAATTGAAGAGCTTCTATATAACTTTTACTAACACCAATGGAGTTTGTTTTGCTGGAAGAGAGCTCGGAGGAGCCGTAGTATTGGACTTGGCAAGCAGATACAAGATGAAAGGTTAGTGATTTTAACATCTGACGATAAGTTAGAAAGAAAAGATAAATGTGTCATTTATCATTTTAACTTATTTATTGACGATACACTTCATAAAATGCTAGTAACATGTATGCTACGTTCGCATAATGGCATGATTCAGAGTATACACATATATTCGTTGTTGTTCTGAAATTATCTGATTTATTAAAATTACGCAATATATTGAATTATGGGGTTAATGGATCTGTTTAGCTAGATGTTGACTTTTCTTTCGATAACTTTGGATTTTCATCACTCTCCTGTTCAGCTTCAAAATTCGCTTAACAACAATGACGAGTCTTGGATGGAAGAAAAAGCTGTATGATGTAGTTTAAAACGTGTGCTTTAGTATTCGCAGTCTTAATGTTCAACCGCATGTAATTTCGTGTCTATGATTCCCAACACTATATGTTTACACATAATGTGTTTCATTGTATGTGTAGGTGCGTGCATGTGTTGAGTTAGCAATGAAAATATTGTAATCACTTTAAGCTGTAGTAAGGGATTAATAATTTTAGTTATGTTTATTATATTCGGTCAACAAATGTTGCTAGACAGAAAGTAGCGATTGTTGGTTTAACTGACAGAGTATTTGTATACGCACAAACAGTTCATAATCCCAATCAATATTAATCATCCAGGTTCACAGTTTATAATCACATTCATTTTGTCATGCAGATACTGACTTTATTCTACCACAATGTCACAGTGTTCTCAAAAATATATTTTTAACTCCAGAAGCATCATTCTGAAATAATTACTGTTTTGTTTGTATGTTCTGTTAAAATTATGACATCGTTCAAGCCGAGTACTGACATGTCTACTGTGCAAGACGTTAACAACACGAATCATTGTATGAGCTAACATTTCGTGAACATAATTTTCTTTTATCATTTTTCTGTTGAATGTTATTTCGTCGAATGGAGTCTCAAGTTTTTTGCTTGAAACAAAAGTCTGAAGCAAAATTCATATTTCAAATTCTAGATCGATCAAACGAAGTCGGTGATACCAGCCCTGTAAGTTGAGCTAAACATAGTAATGCCATTTTAGAAAATTAACCGCTTAGTATATAACAAAGAATCCCACAAGCGTACTTTACTAACACTTCTCATATCTAACTACGTGTATTGTAATACGAAAAGAAATCATTGAACCGGATAGTAATGATAACTTAGGGATAGAGTCATTAAACAACTAATTAACGCAATGACCGGTCATGGCCCTTGTTTAACGGATAACTAACTACCATAGAAAATCATTACCAAAAATAAGGGGAAAAACTTGAATTGAAAGGAATTTCCTTACCTTTTGCAATAACCTCGGGGTTATTTCAAAGTAAGGACAATTCCTGAATTTAATGAAGATCCATGAAACTGGGGTCAGGATTGGTTTAGATTGGTTTTATACAATATCATATTAACATTCTTTTTTTTTAGTTCAGTCTAGATTTTTTATTGTCCGTAACGAATTTTATAATCGAATTTTTTATTGAAACTTGTTTTAGCAATTCAGCTTGAAGATAAGATACAAGAACGATCTTGCATAATATCCTAAATTATTATGTTATATACAACAGAAAACTCGTTCTGCAGCTTGAAATACCAGACTTTGACAATAGTTTTCGACCTGAGACAAACATTTGGTTGTTTGATATCTTTAGAGACAGCTTATTACCTTTTACTGGAGATAAAAGATGCATGATATTCTGTTTGATAATTATCAAGTAAATACCAACATCTTAACAAAATTGTAGTTCAAACTCAAAATTGATACAAAGAGGCCAACGCTTTAAGAAAGAAAAAATTACCAGGAAGCCCTTAAAAAGGGGTAAAGATAGGAAGACTTTGCCTTCCAGACGACATCAGTAAGTTCTCGAATGACAACGAGCTTCACGTCAATGAAATCTCAAGGCATGCCACGAACATTGAACATAACCAAAGTCATATCGAACAAGGAGATATAACATTCATTAAGAAGATCATGGGTTTCCCAATAATGTTCTTGTTCATACTCCTTTTTAATCTATCAGCTGGAGATACTTTTCACCGAAACTTTTAAATCTTACGTTCTGCATAGATACAATGACGTGGTCATTTGGATTTGACACTCCGAAACACCGTTTTCAAATAATACCGAGATATATCGATCTCTTCAATAAATGTGCTTTACAATATCCAATACCTTCATACGAAAAAAAATACGTTGTCTGCATCAATATAAATATGGTTTACGGGGTAAGACCTTTCACCGCTTGATATGCACTTCTTGGCAAATGGAATCTTTATATTATTTTCCCCGTTTGCGCTTTTCATGAATCTTCTTCATTTACCCGATTCACAACCGTTGTCAATTGTCATGGACTTAATAACATTACAACTTCATTTCAAATTGATGAAGTTAATTGCTACACACTTAGAATCCATTCCACTTAACGCTCACTAGTTCTTAATGTTTAATTATGTCATGTAGAATACGTGTTCGCTAGATACGTTGTGGTCTCTAAGAGACCTTAAAAGAACTCTTTTGTCCAATTACGTGTAATTAATTCCTATGAAATCGCTGGAGTAGCAATGATTGTTTGTTCATCAATGATGATGTGTACAATATGTTGAATTAACTTCCGGAAACTCCTTAACACTGCATTAAGAAACGGCCAATGACTATCGATACCATCGATTGCCAACATACTATTATCAATGCCTCACCGATATTTCCATGTCTGTGAATCAAGGAAAATACTACAAAACACAAAACAGCGTCATAATAACAGGAATATTACGAAATCATCCTAGGTGTGTGTAAGGGCAGCAAGTAGAACTACTGGGGCAAATAACACAAAACATTTCATTGACATATATTAATTTCAATTCATAAAAAAAACGATTGTATTGAAAACAATCAGAAAATACTGACATGTTATCAAATTCTGATTATGATATGAAATTTTTGGATCGAAATATGAAGAAAAGAAAGATTCACATAGAAGTCTTTGAAAACAAAAAGAAAGATTTACAAGGAGATCTTTGCAAACATGCACGAGAAGGATACCACAAGGTTTTCTTGAAGAGGTTATCTCTTTAATTGGATGGTGATTTTCTTTGAAATAAGTGTTGACGTTCCTCGCAGCTCATCTTATACGCGAACAATAAGTAACTACCACTTTAGTGTTTAGTGATTTTTAAGCCATGGATTATCTATGACACGACCAAACACTAGATGATTCATTTTATTAGTGATATTGATAATTATCACACGGCCAATATTCTTCTAGCTTTCAGAGCCTAGATTTGTATCATGGTACTCGTTCAGCTAACAACTCGTATGTAAATACATATTTCAGAAGATCGCCATCAACGTATCTGACTATATTAACCAGCTGTTCATTTCATTCTAATGCATCTAGATGAAAACATTAAAGTGTGAAGGTGAACTACAATTGTACATTTAAGTTTCTTTTCAAGTAAATATGATGCAAATGCAATCGCTTTTTTGCTTGGTTTTTACCTCATTCTCCGTAAACAGCCAAAGCCATAATTGAGGCGGTCTATCCTTGTAATTGCTATTTGGTAGTTGTCTCACTGAACAACATACAGAGAACCATCGCTTGTCATCGAGAGCAACCGGGATAGGTTATCTTGTCCATTGGCACAAACAATATAATACCTTAGAATCTTCAACCATTATGTGTAGTGCTGATAGATACTTTCTTTATTTAGTTGCTTCAACTTTGCATATACATATGTACCTTATATATGTCCTTAAATTGTGATTCTGGTATAAATATTGTGACTTCTTGTTCAATTTGCGATAACTTAAAGGTGCATTGTTCAAGAACTCTCTGTATGCATTTTACCGATCATAAACATATCGATAAAAGTCGGTTCATTTTTCTGGAAATGAGGAAGTGACAAACATGTAACATGAAATCACCCATAAATAATATAATAGTGTTATTATCTACTTTCCATGTTGCTATTTTCACTACGTACAAGTATCCTATTGACACAATTGCTTTCGGGTGTCACTATCGATTGAAAGAATTTATTCAACATGTCAACATATAGTTCATATCGCCGACAGATGGTTAATAAGTATTATCTCCAATATATGTAACGGGGCTGATGTTGTCTACTGTATCACCTAGTATTATCTTCAACATAAGTAATGGTGGTGATCTTGTCTACTATATCACCTAGTATTATCTCCAACATAAGTAATGGGGGTGATGTTGTCTACTGTGTCACTTAGTATTATCTCCAACATAAGTAATGGGGCTGATGTTGTGTTCTGTATCACCTAGTATTATCTCAAACATAAGTAATGGGGCTGATGTTGTGTTCTGTATCACCTAATATTATCTCAAACATAAGTAATGGGGCTGATGTTGTCTACTGTATCACCTAGTATTATCTCCAACATAAGTAATGGGGGTGATGTTGTCTACTGTATCACCTAGTATTATCTCCAACATAAGTAATGGGGGTGATGTTGTCTACTGTATCACCTAGTATTATCTCCAACATAAGTAATGGGGGTGATGTTGTGTTCTGTATCACCTAGTATTATCTCAAACATAAGTAATGGGGTTGATGTTGTGTACTGTATCACCTAGTATTATCTCCAACATAAGTAATGGGGCTGATGTTGTGTTCTGTATCACCTAGTATTATCTCAAACATAAGTAATGGGGTTGATGTTGTGTACTGTATCACCTAGTATTACCTCCAACATAAGTAATGGGGCTTATGTTGTCTACTGTATCACCTAGTATTATCTCCAACATAAGTAATGGGGCTTATGTTGTCTACTGTGTCACTTAGTATTATCTCCAACATAAGTAATGGGGGTGATGTTGTGTACTGTATCACCTAGTATTATCTCCAACATAAGTAATGGGGCTGATGTTGTGTTCTGTATCACCTAGTATTATCTCCAACATAAGTAATGGTGGTGATGTTGTGTACTGTATCACCTAGTATTAT